CCTGAGCATGCTAATTTGAATCACTTTCAATTAAAATTCCCAAACTACAGTTGCTTTTCCAGAGGCCTAATACTACTAATTACATGGTGACTCCAGATATCCCCTTAGTGGCCAACCTTGGATTTGCAGGAAAAAAGTAAATCCAGTCAGAACAATGTTGCCCACCCCTGACAAACAAATTAGTGAAACCTAATCTCTCAAAGGCATTGTAGCAGCCAAACCCAAAAGACAGAGTACGCTTGCCTTCAAGGCCAGGGAAGTGTTAGAACTAGGAAATGCCATCTGCTTGATCAGATGTAAGAGAACTTGGGAAAAGATGGGGAACGAGGCTTAGAATGCTATCAGTTCAGAATGGCTGACAAAGACAGAGCTCAACCTCGAGCATCAACAAAAACCTTGGAGTGTGGTAGTATAAAAGTATCTCAGGGCTCCTAAAGAAGAATAGCAGCATAAAAGTGAACATGCATGGATGATTTGAAAGGAAAAAAGAGGAGCAGCAGCACCCTCTAATCTGTACCTTATTTTATGGAGTTTTGCCATGCTCTGCATAGAAGACAGGTAGAAACAAGACATATATAGCCATTTTTTTCATGTTAGATGTTAGCAATATATGTTACTGGTATTATTTGCAGCCCTCATAGCATGTAGGTGATAAAAGTATAAAACTGATGAAGTTCTTGATATTCCAGGTGGGGAGTGTTCTGCTGTGTGTACGTATAGTCTACGTGGTACCTCAGACCCTTCATTCAATCTTGCCTATCATATATTGCCCTTTTTATGTTAATGATCGTTACCATTCATTTCACAACACCTAAATCCTAAAACATCCTGGTGATTATCCATGTCTTTGATCAACCTGATTTTAGGAGTTACTAGGGTAATCTCCTTTAGGAGATCTTCCATGACACCAGGCACAACATCTCCCTATACTAGCTAAATTACAGCTTCTTTTTACCTCAAAATTCCAATCTATTATAATTTTACCATCTCCTCTCTTTCTGCAATCAGCACCTGACTTGAAAGTTCCTTAATTTGTCCTTGCTCTGAAATAATAAACTTACTTAGGACTGTAAGAAATAACACAATGTTAATGCTGTCTTGATTAGCAAGGTATCAGATTCATATTTCATGAGATCAAAATATTTATCATAGAGCAAAGTACCTCTGAGTTTATCTGTTTTTCCATAAATTTCTATCTCCAGTTTAGTATGAAAGTGCTGTGTTTCAGAAATGGGAAGCACTTATTTAAGTACATTCTCAAAAAGTCATCATTGTCTTTGATAACATAAACTTGAGATATCTCTTCCATAAGGACATTCCAAATTTTGTTTCTGTTGATAACTGGATGCTTCATATTCTTTGAATAGCTATCATTCAGATCTGAAGCTTAAACTGTCCTCTCTGCTTAGAATAGTTTGCAGAGAAATTACTCATTTGGAGAGAAGTTATTCCTTGAAGACTTACAGAACATTTCTGCCTTGTTGCATTACAGAATTTGTATGCCTTTGCCAATATAATGATAATGCATTCATATATTCAAGGTTTTGTTTGAATAAGAACAGCTTGTTGAGATTAAAAATTAAGGGGCTCAGTGGATGGAGAATCATTTGAGATCTTTCATAAGAATCAGCCCTTTCATTCTGTTTCTGATGGAAAATTATGTGGAGTTTCAAACTGCAACCAACCTGAATCAGACAATGAAGTAAGCTAAAAACATACAGTGGTGGGAAATATTGTGTCACCCTTTAAAACACCTCTACACTATCTTAAGTGTTTTTTCCTAGTACATTTATAGTCAGAGCCATGTTTGAACTGCCATACTTATAGAGAGGTGAGGGTGGGAAGGAGGGTGGGAAGGAGGATGAGAAGGAAGTTGGATGCGGATAGAATCCTTTTTGATGGCTAATTTTAGCCTGCATGATCTGAAGGATCTAATTTGATAGGTGAACTGTACTCAAAGACTGAGTTCACCAATTCAGCTGGAAAACATGTTTAGAAACAGAAATATTCAAACATTTCATCTTACCTCAGAACTTGGAAGAGATGCAGGCTG